AGTGCCACATCGTTTAAGTATGATAGGAGAGTACACTTTGTAGTGGTCACCTGGCTGTTCGTCTGAACAGAACGCGAGTCATGGTCAAGGATATATGAAAGATGCTGGATGGATAACATCCAGAAATGACGGGAAATGAGCACCAACACTCATTTCGTCGCAGTTGCACAGAACCGAAAAGTATGGAACACAATTGTTATCAGGCCTTTGATCAAAGAATCAGCTTGAGTCGTGGTATCTTTGTCATGACCAAGTTTGCCGTACCGTGTCAGGGTTGTTTCTGACAATCGCTCGCTATGCATCTCATGTCATCCCAGGGTTTTAATGGTCACAACACATATTGAGGCTATCGCGACGCCTTACCTTAATGCGCAGGTAATCGAATTTGAGCTGTTCTGAGAATCAGTGATATATCTTGTCGTTCGTACGCTCATGGTTCCCCCTGTGCTAAACACTATTTTCTGTACTGATTATGGAATTTTTCTCTCCTTTGTATGCTGTATATATGTTTGTGTTGAAAGTTGAAAGAAGCTTCTTGTGTCACATTAATAAGCATGCTGGAAATGCTGAAATCAAATCAGGTTTATTGTCTTTAACAACGACCGTTGTTATTGACTTATCGCTGCACAGAATGGTTGCGAAGATCTGCTAGGGAAATATTTGCAGTTTTTCAATGGCTGGCGAGAATTTCATGTATAAACAACTGTGGCTTTTTCACAGTTTTTGTGAAGAACGATAAGATATAGCAGCGATGGAGTTCTATCAGACAATGCAAAATTTAGCGAAGGCCCACTAATCGCCTTTCTTCGATGTCAATGGGGAAAATGAAGCCCGATTTGTTGTCAGTTGGTCGGAATAACTGTCAGTCTTGCTTTAATGTTCATGTTTGACTGCCACATATGTCACTGTCACAATTTTTATACTATATTTTTGTAAATGGCTACGTATAATATTTTATTATGTAGTTGTAGAATGTATATACATTACTCGAGAAATTCAGGCTAATATAAACGACTTTTGCCTAAATGCCTTACTAGAAGTCAAAAAGTTATACTGGTGTGTGCAGTGAAGGTGTTTTTATAATCAGAGCAATCCTCTGCTGCAGTCCTCTCAGATTCGGTTTTGATTCTCGTTAGTTATAACGTTGGTGTGTCGTGGTTGCTCGTTCAACGGGAACTATTTTTGTGTGCAGTATTTTTACAAATGACGTATTTTATTCTTGCGTTGAATATTGTATATTAAGCACTAAGAATCGCAGTTTATTCACAACTCAAAATTATCGCACAATAAAGAGAACGGCGGTATCAGCGTTTCATCACGAGATTTTAAATGAGTGAAAAGTATCAATCGGTGTTACGGTTGATCAAATACTTGTGGTTTGTTTGTTTTAGTTTTTGATACTTTTTAATTTGTTTCTAAATGGCTTTTGTGTTTTTATGACTATTATTTGTTCGTTTAGTGAGAAACTACGAAAATGATATGCTGTACATCTCGCCTACGACCGCTGCGGCATCGTTTCCCGCCGGCAGTAAAGTGTTGGATACTCAAGGAGGCTCAACGTCATCGTCATTGTTGTTGTTGAACCGCTTCTGCGCCACCAGTGCCAAGTCCATTAGCGATGGTGGCGGCGGCACGCCTGCTCCGCTAGGATTGAATGAAAACGAATTTCCATCGCTCACCGCCAACCGAGCACCCGGTTACGTAGGAGGAGGCAGTGGTAGCGGCGGCTGTGGTGGAAGTGGTGGAGGCGGAACGCCTTCGAAGACCTCACACGTCACCAGATCAGCCTACGGTATGTTGTCTGATGACTTTTCACCACGCATAGGTTGTAGTTTGTTTCCAAGTGACTTGGATTTCAGACAACCAACAAGAGTTCCAAATCCACAACGAAGACTTTCCTGCCTTACCTGGATCTCAAGAAATGAAACGAAGCTCCACCGCGGCGGCGGATTCGGTGATGACTGCGTGCGCCACTGGCGGCGACCGTTTGCCCAGTTGTTTGTGTAACGCTGTGTGCTTTTCTAGTCGCCGTTAGACTCCATGAAAGACGGTCGGTTTCCCAACGAAAGAATGCAAACGAAACGAGGAATTCAAACGCTGCCTGACTGTAAGTTTTGAAACTAAGCTAATGTCATTAAAACGGTAAAAATTTAATGTCTAAGTATACCGAAGTGACTTAAGTGCCATTGCGGCATAATATATGAAGAAGAAAGTTTGCATATCCGTTAAGGTGGCGGTCTCTGTTACACTTGTTTGGTGGACATAGTTTCTCACTTTATCCTTCTCTTTATGGACCATGTGGTGCAGAGCTGGGGCTGGTCTCCACTGCTATGCTGCCAGCCAGGAGTACTGTTTTAAAAATAGTCTCTGCCGCGAACAAATTCCAGACGATTTGACTGGCGTATCGGTGATTCTACTGCATTAAAAGGGAGAACGGGAAAATTTGAATAACATGCGGATTCATTTGTTACCAATCATCTACAAGTTCTTCAACTAACAGGATTCAAGAAAAACTGTAACTGAAGAACTAAGCAACGAATATCAACTTCCTCTCTCTGGAGTTCGTTCATTTCTCGAGATCATTCGACTCATTGTACATTCGTTTTGTACTGGGTTTCTTGAGATAGCAAGGAATCGAGAACAGATACCAGCCTGATCACCATGATTTACAACAATACAGTTGCTAGTGTGAAGCTCCACGAAAGCCCAAGCAAACTCATAATTGGAAAAGGCGTTCGACAGGGAGACATAATATCACGGAAGTTATTCACAGCAGCCCTAAAAAAGGTTTTCAAGAAACAGCGTTTGGGCAGTCAGTAACGAAGACAAATCAGTACTGCTTATGCGAGTACAACTTGCTCACGCTATTCTGATCTTATCACGTTCGCAAGCAAACTGCAGGGAAGAATCCAAGGGCTAAACGACGCCATCATCAAAGTGAGACGGAAAATAACCTGAAAATGATCAGCTCGTGTTCGACAGATAAGTCACCACGCAGCACGTTGTTAAAGTTGCTTTTGAAGAAGTCCAAAACTACGTCTGGGACAGTACGGTGCTAACATATGTGTTCGAAACGTGTATTTTAACCCTGAAGGGTATTATAAACTGCAGTGCACGTAGCGCAGCATCGAAAGATGTGCTGACAATAGGAAGAAAAGATACTAAGGCGAATGGATAAGAGCACAAACCAGAGTTTGCGATGGCAATGCCCAAGTAAAGAAGTTGAAGTGGCAATGGGCAGAACACGTTACGAGAAGAATGGACCATCGCTGGACCAGAAAATCATCAGATTTGGTTTTAAGAGAGATTGATGGTCCTTAGAAAGACCTCAAAATGGATTGCAGGGAGCTAAGGAAGTTCGTTAGGTCAAAATGGATTAGAATCACATAAATCAAAAGTTTTGTGGCACAACTTGGAAAGCCCTGTACCCAGCAGTGGTCAAGAAAGCTGTTGTTGATAATGAATGTCTGCAATTGTTTGGTAAGTTCAGGGTGTAGCTTAATATTTTTTTCTCCATTAAGTGTTACTTGACGCACGTACCAGGTATAATGTAACATCGTAATAAAGTGACCTGATAAAATGCCCCAGTCAAATTATCAGTGTCAGCTTTATCCCTGTGTACCAAGTCATGTTCTCTCATTCATCTATTCAGCTCACTCGTTAACTTCTAAGCGCTTCTTTTGACTTTTTAAAGGAAAGATAAATCCATGGTTTGAATCGTGAGGGAGTATCAAAATAAATAGTAGATTAGTCAGGAGATATTTAATTTGATTTGAATTTAACTAATTAGGTGCGTATATCAGTCACGTTTCTTTTTTGCAGCCGGCCCGAAAACAGACATCTCTCAGGGCAGAAAAATTTCAGTAATTTGAATGTTCCACAGTGGGTCATCTTGGAGAACGGCACGCGACTCCGTTACTCTGTTAACTGTTCATCGACATTTTGTGCATCGTGCATTCGTTAGTTGAACTTTTACTTGCTAGTATTTGTGAGCCATCTACCAATCAATTGCCCAGTCCGCTAAGGAGTTCGATATACCTTAGCCGCCCAGCGCTGCGTCAGTTTTGTTCCTTCTTTGTAGCCGGTGTCTTTTCCGCTAAACAAAGTAAATGGCCACAATGGCTCTGGTGCAATTAAGTTTATTTGGATATACTTTTGACAGATTTAACAGATCGGTAAGAATCACGCCATATTTTAACAGGTTTTTCTCCAATGAAAGCCCTGAATTGATCAATGTGAGATACGCAAGTGAACAAGCTGGATGCCCAACGCTTTGTATATCCAACCGTTGTTTCTGATCGAGACGTTTCGAACACTCTGTGTACCCTAATGAATTTTTGTCGTATGCTTTACAAAATTTTGATATGTCTTACTGTGCCAAGGACGAGATTGCATGTCGCACCAGTAGGGCACACGTACTTGGGTAGGTGCATTTATACTTATGTTAAAGCGAGCACAGGGCCATGGTTATTTTATTTTCATTTTTTAACATATCAAATCCACTGATCGACTAATCGCTGTCTCTCGTTTTCAGCAACGGTTACTGGAATTCCGCACGACATGCTGAACGATCAGTTTGGAATGGTCGGTTTGCTGGTGTTCCTGCGAGCAATCGAGACGGATCCGGCCATAGTCTCCTTGGCGTTGGGTCACGACCTTACGCAGCTAGGTCTCAACCTTAATGCACCGGAGTAAGTACAGCCTGTTAGTTACGGGGTCTGCTCTGTTTACATTTTTTGCTGTTTATAACGGTCAGGTGAGTTAATTTGTCAAATGCTTTATCAAAAATACCTTTATCAAAAGGCAGGTGCCACAATGAACCGGTTTGTTGAATGATATAGAAATTATTTCTACCTGCCCACTGAAATGCTTTGCCGTGGCTGGAGTAACAAACCGTTATAAAGCTTAATTTGTCTGAATTTGCCTGTGGCATGGTATTAAATTAACTGATTGGGTTGATTGCACTTTAAGTCCATTTTTCAACTTGAGCAACATTTTTTAACATATGAATCATGATGGTTTCTGTATTGTTTCTACCACCTTGAAGTATTCAGATCGACGGCATGTATTCCAGGGTTTTCTTCGTTGTTGCTACATGTCTGAGCTTTCCGAAATCCAAACTTATGCATGCTCGCAATGCAAAGACTGACGGGTTGGACTGTCGTTTCTTTTCCAGAATATTTTTAGAATTTTACGTAAGACTTTTCTGTGACGCATTTCCCATTCCGGAACATCGTCAAGGGTTTAAGAATTTGAGACAGCGCGTTAATTCTGCATGTCTTTGTGCGCCGCTTGTTTGCTATGTCATGGCACATTGTAGAGACTATGGTAAGATTTTTCCGTAACTTTGTTCTGAGTTTACTTTTAATTTCCTTTTTCTATTTCTGTTTGTTTTTTTTGTGCTACTAAAGCAAGATTGATGATTATGCTGAAGCAGTAAATTTGCGTTATTCTGTGGCTTTCCTGTTTAGAAAGAATTTGCATCAAAATTTCGGTGGGCCTTGGGCCGACGTTCCTTGCCGTCCTCAGGATATTGATTTTACTATTCCTCTGGAATACCAAACGAACTCAGCCGTGGCGGAAAAGTTGACCCCGATCAAGTTAAATCGATACAGCGATGACCTCCTGTTCTATTTTTTCTACAACTTCGGTGGTGAAGTGTTTCAGTTAGCGGCTGCAGCTGAATTGTACGTAGATTTCGCTATTACTGTCTTTTGTTAGTCTGTGTCAAATGATTATATTCTGAACCTTGTGATTTTTTCTCAAAAGGGTGTGCATAGTAATGTGGAGAAAAAAATAGTTCAGTGCATCTCTCCTCTTACAGGTGGAAAAGCTTTTGCTGTAATCATGAAAATACAATCTGGAAATTGCGCACAGTTATTTTTTCGAAATATAGGCTCGATTGTTTTTATCTTCCTAAGAATATCTCTTTTGAAATCTCAAGATTTAATTGTTAGAAAAGGCAGGCAAGGGCATTTTTTCTTGGCCATCCGCACAGCGAAAAAACGATATAAAAATTTTCATTAACAATAAATATTGGCGATCGGTTAATCTGGAGAGACTAGCATAAGAATATTGTTACGTGATGCTTTTTAGTTGAAGTGCAAATTGGTTGAGGTCCCACAGAGTGCTGGTATTTCTCCTTTCTAGAGTAAGAAATGATGAAACGCCTGAAATTTCTTCTTAAGTTCCTTCATGGAGTGATGTTCTGCGATAACAGAATGAATTCTGTGAAGTGGTCGATTATTTATTTTACGTACCAGCTTGAGTGTAGCGGTGCTTACGCGAAACAGACAGGTTCTGATGCGAGATCATGGGTGAACCGTGTAGCCCTAGTTGCTAGTTTGTTCATAAGCCGAAGCATACTAAAGCTTATTGTTAACGGCGTTGTAAAGCAAATCAGGCCTGAATATGTGATCGTGAAAATAACGCTATCGATGATTCACGCCTAGCATATGTCGCGTGCTTCTAGACAGTGACTACTTAACAAAGTAATATTTTATCCGCACCCTTGCCACTGCGTTGATCTAATCTTGCTGGCTCAGGATTGTTAGTTAGCAAGCCGTTTTGCGAACCCGCTTTATCATCAGTCGAGCAGTTTGCGTTTTTGGTGAAACAATTTCTGTCCGCTTGTGTTAGCAGAAGTGAAGGCGCATCTTATGGGGTAATTATGCGAGTACAATTTTTCAGCGAGAAGATAAGCAAAGGGAAAAACTGGAGGGAGTGAGATAGCGCTGGCAAAAAATCGGCTTCGAACTTCGGAGCTGCAGGATTTAAATTGGAAACTAGAAAGCATTTTTTATCACTAATTTTTTTAAGCAAGAAATTTACCTCACCTTGTATCAGTGCAGGCAGTCGAGAAACAGGTAGCAGGTTGTTCCTTTCTTTGGGCTGCCATTCTCCTTGACTGATATAATACCTGTGTACTGCGGTAACTGGCACAGTATTTAACCCCCCCCCCACCAAAATGAACAGAGAACAGAACAAGAATAAGACAATAAGCGACAAATGCGCGAACCTTTACGCGTTTTGTCTGTTCCAGTCTGCATAAATGCAGTTAATAGTTATGCGCAGATTTCGGCATTTCCATAATCGGTTTATATAATGCACAATATGGTTACATTCACCATTCCACTATATGCCTAAGCTTAAACAAAGTCACATGCTGCATGAATTTTCAGATGTAATTGCGTTATGTAAACTGCTTGTGTAAGCGTCGAAATCTGTATATATATATATCTAAACTCTATTATTAATTTCTTGGTGTTGCCGTAAATTATTCACTTGGATCATACTGGAGAGATTGAAGCTGGTAGAAAACTCCGCTTGTTGAGTTTGTTGAATTGAGTTTGTTGTTGAAAAAGTTGATAGAAAACTCCGCTTAAATCAAGCTAGCTTCCGAATCGTGTGTTCATACCCTGATCAAATTTTTACGTTAAGGGGTGCAGCAACGTCTACGATTCCAGTTGTATTGATTTGCTTGTTTCCTCGCCTTTAAAGCTGCCTTTAATTTCACACATTGCCCAATCATGTTGAGAACATTATAATTCTATTGAATATTTGAAAATATCATTAACATTTTGAAAACATACTGGAAACAGGGCATTTGAACAGGCAGATAAGTTTTTTTACCAATCATTTACAGGATATGCACGAAGGTATCGACGAACGGACAAGAAAAAATGGACGTTGCACAGCCCAAAGGAGCAAGCAGGATTCAGAATTGGGTTTGGAACGATGAAGTACCTCCAGGTGGTACAAAACAAGTAAGCCAGACAAGCAAAGGATATTAGCTTCTTCTCTACCTGGGGTTCGTCGAATTCGAGAGGGTTCTGTCTGCATCCGTTCTCTGCTGGATTCCCCAAGGTGCTAAGGAATCTAGAAAAGATGCAGAGACCTCCTCATGGTGATTTACAAGAATGCTGCTGTTGGCTTCATCAGACCAGAGCTAAGTTCAAAGTCAAAAGTGGCGTCCGATAGGGAGACAGTGTAACAAAAGTTATTCAGAGCAGCCCTAGAGGAGGTTTCCAAGATATTCCGTTGAGAAAATCATGAGCTGAACAGAAATGGACACTACTTGTGCTGCTTGCGGTTTGCAGACGATATTCTGGTCCTCTCTAGGTAACCAGAAGAATTCCAAAAAAGAGGCAGCAGCTGAACTACGTAACTATCAAAGTCAGACTGAGTAGCAGCCTGAGGAAGATTCAGGTAATGTTTAGTAAATACGTTAGCGCGTTGCATGTTGAATTCAATGGTCGTATGCTTGAAAAGGTGCAGATCTCTGTTTATCTGGGACAGCTGATCTTTGCAACGGAGAACGGACTATGTGAAATCAGCAGAAGAATGAAAATGGCATAGAACGGGTTTGAAAAACTGAAAATGTTCCTTTCCGGAAAGCTGCTTTTTTTTTGTTCTCAGTCCTTCTGCTACCAATATTAAACTGTGGATGCAAAGCGTAGACCCTAAGCCTGAATGCTACTTGTAAACTGCAGAGTACGCAGCACAGTATGGAAAGATGTCTCTCTGGAATAACAAGATCGAAAGACGAATCAATGGATACCAGCACAACAGTACGTAGAGTATGCGGTGACATTGCTCAAGTGAGTCATTTACAGTGGGTAGTACACTTTGTCAGAAGAACTGAATGTCACTGGACCAGAGAGAGGTTAACTCGATTCCAGGAGAGATCCAATGGTCCGTAGATAGAACTCCAGATTGATTGGAGAATGAGCTGAAATTCGTTAAATCAGAATGGATGATATTGGTAAATAACAGGAATTTATGGCAGTTTTGTGTATGCCATCATCCGTCAGTGGATCGACAAAGGCTGATGATAATTATGATAGTGATACCACTGGTTGTATGTATTAATAGTGTACTACTAAATCAAAATATGTCTGTGCGCCAGAGTATGGCACATAACGCATAACTCGTCTAAGAGTGCATTTCACGGCGTATTGCACCACCACTCTCTTATATTCCACTGTATTCAAATTTCTTTTTACCCTAAAGAAGAGCATTGTCAACGAAACATTGGTAATACAGAGCTTGATCTGTCAAAATCATGGAATCACGAAACATGCCGTTTCATTTTTCTTTGTATCAGCTGTTTTATTAAATTTCCATATAACAAATAGCGTATCAGTTTCTGTCAGCACCATATGTCGGTTTTGTAAAACATGAATTTCGAAGCTTTTCGCATTTTTATTTTATTTTTTGTGTTGACTGCGCGAGGTCATTATGTCATCGTGCAGTATCGTGGTCGCATGTTCGAATCTGTGTCATTGCTGGATACTTTCTTCTGTCTCGTTATTGGCTTGTTTCATCATATTACATAAGGTTGGACAGCTGTTTATCAGCACATGACTAAACTTGTAAATTTAGAGCATTTGCAGTTTAGTTTGTTTCTACTATGGCTTTCTCTTGCATTAAGTGCAACTACGTCGATCAAACGAATTTCCGGCGAAGTGCTAGACGTCCAGCGTTGTTTCTACTGTAAATGTAGCCTGGTTACAGCTGGATGATCAGCATAGAACACTTGGAAAAGAATGCTGAGTTAGAAATGTCAATCAGCTACTTTCGATGGCTGCTTATCCTTTCGGATCGTCGAATCAGACACTTCAGGCAATGTTTCCATCATTCCCTATCCTGTACCAGCATTTGAGCTTCGGCAGATGGAAGCCTGAATCTGGAACAGAGTTCTTCGATGCATTTGCTCCCTTCATTCTTGGTTGTTCCTCGGGGTCTTTGGCCGATTTGTTGGGCACATGGTGACCGTTTCGCATTCCTTTCTGAAATAATTCGCATCTGTGACTTTCAATCTAGAGAATCGGAAATATTACACTATATAAAATCTACCTGTCTGGCATTGTAAAATGCAAAAGGGCTGAAAATTTTGCGAACAGCTATTTTGTCGAATTATTCAAGTTTGACAAAAGTAGAGTATAATGCTCGTCTGAAGACTCTCATTGTTATGTAATCTAAGACTGTTTTATACTCAAGTAGTTGATTCAGACGTACAGTTTCCGATTAAATATATTCTAAAAGATTCGCGACAATAAGATATGGCGTTGATACCGACCATTTGTATGCACCAAAATGTAACAGATCGAGGAGACAGTGACTAGTTTTACGGCTGGGAGGAAACTTTTGTTCTTGATTGAGTCTGACGTCGCATCTTACTTAGTAAATTTGATAATCTATGTCAAACTAGTCTGGTGTGGTAAGAATTGGCTGCTTTGTTACTTGAAGATTTTCTATCCACTTGGACAGTAAAACCAGCGTAATCCTCCTTTAGCAACGATCCGATGTCCAATCACGTTATATATCAAGAATGATCGTCATTTATGCTGAGATTCATCGTATTTTTTTCTGATTTGTTACCTTATTATTCGTAACG